TGCTGCACCTGGCTCCCTCTCTCTCGTCTCCCCCCATGGCCCAGCTCAGCCTGGTCATGTCCACTCTGGACTCTCCCAGATGTCTCTTCCTCTACCCATACTTTCCCTTTTATCTACAATAAACTTTCTTTTTCACCTTACCTAGGACAGTCATGTCCTTTCCTTTCCTTTTCTATTTTACATTCAGACCCATCAGCTGTGGGTCCCATAGAGTCACCAGCCCTACCTTATATCTGAAACCCTAGACTGCCTGGCTCTGACCTTGGCAGTGGCCCAGTCAGGAAAAGATGGTACCACTCACCTTTATAAGGGCCACTCAGAGCCAGGCAGTGGTGGTGCATTTAATCCTTTAATCCCAGCACTTGGGAGGCAGAGAGGCAGGTGGATCTCTGTGAGTTCGAGGCCAGCCTGGGCTACAAAGTAAGTTCTAGGACAGGCTCCAAAGCTACACAGAGAAACCCTGTCTCGGAAACACAAACCAACAAAACCAAGGGCCACTTAGGTTATAAGCAGGTGCTGTAGGCCCTTCCTCAAGGTCTCTGAATTACACAGGCCCAGGAGTACCTGCTTTGAGTCCAGAAGGGTATATCTAGAGGAAACCCCTGTGCTGTTTGGTTTCAGTTAATTTGATAGGAACTAGAGTCACCTGGGAAGAGGGACCCTCATTTGAGGAACTGCCTCCATCAGATTGACTGTGGATGTGTATATGGGGCATTTTCTTGATTAATAATTGATTAATAATAATAAAAGTGAGACGTTCCAGACCACTGTGGGTGGTGCTACTCCCTGAGTAGGTGGCCCTGGGTTCTATAAGAAAGCAGCCTAAAGAAGCTATGGGGAGCAAGCCAGTCAACAGTGTTCCTCCGTGATTCTGCTTAAGTTCCTGCCTCCAGCTTCCTGCTTTGAGCTCCTGCCCTACTTCCTGGGTGACGACTGTGACCTGTAAGCTAAAAAAACCCTTCCCTCCTCAAGTTGATTTTGGTCTTGATGTTTTATTACATCGACAAAAGGCTCACTAATCCATACCTAAAACACAGCTTGGACTAAATCATATTTAATAAATATAGAAGGAGAGTAGAAGGGTATGGGGGTGGGGGTGGGGGGGAGTGTAGCGAAAGGTTTTCCTGTCTTGCCCAGCCCCACGGACCCTGCAGCCACTTATAAAATAATCATTCAGAAGCTTATATATATTAATTAAAGCTGCTCGGCCATTAGCTCAGGCCTACCACTGCCTAATACATTTAAACTCAGCCCATTTCTGTTCATCTATATGTTGCCATGTGTTCCGTGGTTTTACCTGTGTGCCAGTACATGCTGCTCCCTGGATGGCTGACTGGCGTCTCCTCCTCAGTTCTGTTTTTCCTTCCCAGAATTCTCCTTGTCTGCTTATTCCACCTCTACTTCTTGCCTGGATACTGGCCAATCAGGGTTTTATTTATCAGCCAATCAGAGCAACACATTCACAGCATACAGAACACCCCACAGCAGGAGAGAGAGGCAGAAAATGTCCTGGGCATCTCCATTTGTCAGTACACGTGCGGGCTTAGTATCTCAAGGTGGGGCGTGGTCTGCAGGCCTGGGGATTCTGAAGACAGAGTCAAAGTCACCATGTAAAGGTTGCTTTGCCCCTTGGCCACTGGTGTGCATTTTAGGCTTGCGGACACCATGCTGCTTTCTCCCACTGAGGCAGAATTTAGGAAACGGTACAGTCAGGTTTCTTTGTACAAATACTTTGCCAGCTTCTGCTGTCCAACCTACTGGGGTTTTATTGTTCTCATTTAGTTTAACACGTCCTCTTCCCTTGACTGCAGGTCCTTAAAATAGAATTTAATGATGTTTTCATAGCTCCCTTTTCATTGCCCGCATTTAGAACTTGGAAGCAGAGGACATTTTATTATGAGGGCTTTTTATTTTATTTTGTTTTGTGTGTATTAGTGTTTGTTTGCATGTATGTTCCATGTATATGCAGTTCCTGCAGAGTCTAGAAAGGGGCTTCAGAATCCCCCTGAAACTGGAATTACAGGTGGTTTATGAGCTGCCGTGTGGGCGGTGGGAACCAAACCCAGGTCCTCTGCAAGAGCAGCCAGTGCTCTTAATCACCGAGCCATCCCTCCAGCCTCTGTTAGGAGCTTTTTGTTCTGAACCTCCTCTGCACTGTTGGGACCTTCTAGGATGGAAACAGATCCACTGTGGTCTGTGTCAGTAGCATGTGCTAAGCACACCATTCTCAATAAGGGCTGTTTATATGAAAATAAGGAGGTCCAGAACACCGCATTCTGTTTGCGGAACACCACATTATTTTCGCAGAATGGAGGCACATTTCTCCTGAGGAGCCTCATTTCCAGAGGGCTGGGTGAATGGGCTTTGAATGATAACAGCTGTTTACATTCAAGGCCTTGGAAAGGTTTCTTGGAAGTGAGTTTGAGGGCAGTTCCTCCTAGTGGTCAGTGCTATTCTTCTCTCATGGAGTGCTTCAGTCAAAGCTGAGAACACCCTGCTTTTCATGAATTTTGGGCATCCAAGGTATTGACTGACGCCTTTTAGTGTCTGTGGCATCAGGATGTTAATATTGTGTTACACTGTGCGCCCTCTGCCCCTTCCACTTAGCCTTCCTTTCTTACACTCTCAGTCTTGATTTTTCAACTTCATTATAGCTCACTGGTATCAGATGTTGCTAGCCAGTCTGATGGAAAATTCCACAGAAGGAGAGGTTTTTCCGATATGAGATGGTTAGTTATTAGCTAAGGCTGGTGCATGCCCTCCAAGCTCCTCTCCAGAGGTGTTAGTGTCAGATCCTGTTAGGACCTGATGCAGAGGCCATGGAGGGGTGCTGTTTACTGGCTTGTTCCCCATGGCTTGCTCAGCCTGCTTTCTTATAGAACCCAGGACCACCAGCCCAGGAATGGTACCACCCACCCACCATGGGCTGGGCCCTTCCCCATTTATCACTAATTGAGAAAAAGCCTTACAGCTGAATCTCATGGAAGCATTTCTTCAACTGAGGCTCCTTCCTGTCTGATGACTCTAGCTGTTATACAAAGGGAACTAGTGATGTACTTGGGGGACTTTTAGGTAGACCCAGTGCAGGGTTACCCCAGCTGCTACACTTTATGCCCCCATTGAGCAGGAAGAAGCTAGGTCAGGCATTCCCCAGTCCCATAATGGCAGTTACCTCTTCCGAATGGGGATGATGAGAATGGAGGCAGAAGCAGAGAAGGCAGTCTAGGGTAAAAGACCGCAAAGAAAATGAACTAGTTTATTCCTCAGCTCAAAGTCAGACATATCCTCAGGCCTCTTGGCAGCCTTGTCTTTGCCAGAGGCTAGAAATACCAAAAGTGTGTGAGGGTTCTGATTCCTAATCTGATCCCTAAATGATTTTGGGGTTACCTCTTTAGGGGGGGGTGATTAAATTAGAGTAGCAATAAGGGCCTGTTCGATGAATAGAATCTCTGTCCAAATGGAGACCTAACATTCCAGTTGGATGGGGCCAATGACTTGGCTGAGGACCACACTTCAGGAAGGCAGGACCACCCCAGAAAGGCAGGTTCACCTTCAGGCCTGCTAGAGAGATGGGTGGAGGAATTCTTCTTTAATGAGATACTGGACCTGCCGTTCCAGGAACTCCCATCCTCCAGTACAACCTACAAGCCGAGCAGTCTTGAGGTTGGGGTAGGTCCGAACTCAGAAGGGCATAGCTTTCATTTTCATACACCTGGAGCCTGCCTACTCTTTGTCTCCAGCCTTCCTCCTCACTGCACAGCTGCTTCTCCACCGTGCATCTGTCCGCCACAGCAGCTTACACAGCACGGCCTCCACGCCCTCCCTCTCCTCCATGCTTCCCTAGCTGTTGCTGCTGTGGAGACTTTCAAACTCTAATGAAATTGTCCCAGAGCTTCTAGGACTACAGTGAGACCAACAGCCCTTCATGAAGCTGTTAGCACGGTGGAGCATGGTGTTTGGGGCAACTGGAGTCTGCTTTCCTGGGTGGCAGTCACTCATAATTGGCTCTAGAGTAAGCCATCTCTTGTTTCCTCTGAGGTGAGAGCTGTGTCTTGAGTGTTTGTGTTGATAGCCATGCGTTAGCTTTTGCTAAGATGATCCACCACAGTTACGGGCTGATGAGATGGCTCAGAGGATGGCTCAGACACTTGCCACCAAGCCTGTGACCTGAGTTCAGTCCCTGGGACCTACGTGGTAGAGGAAAAGAATTGACTCAAGTACATTTTCCTCTGACCTGTATACACACACCAAACTGGACCAGGAGCAATGGCTGTGGTGGCAGAGCCCTCTTGACACAGCCTGGGTGACAGCTCCTACTGTCTGGCTACCCTCTGTGTAGACAGTGGCACAGTCCTCGATGTGGTGTCCACACAAAGCCCTGTTTTCAGACACACAGCAATTCTGCACTACAAAAGATGCCGGTCAGACAGCGATCACTCTTGACATCCCTGAAGTGGTTTTGCTGCTCTGAATGTGCTCGCTGATCCATGCTGCACCCTGGGTGTTTATTGGGGCCCAGCACTGTGCTAGGCCTTGGTGTCCTGGCTGCTTTTATGTCAGCTTGACACAAGCTAAAGTCATCTGAGAGGAGGGGGCCTCAATTGAGAAAACGCCTCCCTAATATCTAGTTATAGAACATTTTCTTAATTAGTGATTGATGAGGGAGGGACCAGACCACTGTGGGTGGGGCCATCCCTGGGCTGGTGGTCCTGTGTCCTATAAGAAAGCAGGCTGAGCAAGCCAGTAAGCAGCGCCCCTCCATGGCCTCTGCATCAGGTCCTGCCTCCAGGTTCTTGCTTTGTTTTAGTTCCTTCCCTGACTTCCTTCCATGAGGAACAGTGATATGGAAGAATAAACAAAACAGGTCCTCTCCTCCCCAAGCTGCTTTGGTCATTGTGTTTCATCACAGCAGTAGTAAGCCTAAGACACTTGATATTCATGTATATCAGCACATGGATAATTCAGGGGTTACTCACAACAGACCATGCTCTCTATCTCAGTACCAGGTGCTTGGAAGCTGCTTTGGATAAAGAGCGCTGAGTCCCAGGATGCAAGCTTGGCCTCACTGCCTTCATTTTATGTGTGTCTCCTTTGCTCTGGGTCAGACTCCTGCTTGACTCTGCACAGGTATGCTAGTCACAAAGAAGGGTCTGTCTCCTTAACTGAGGATCTCATCTTCCTTCAAGGCACCAAGAGAAGTCATCTCTCTAAACCTGCAGTCACCCTGGGGCCCAGGGCAGCAAGGCCTCTCAGGCAGGCAGAAGGGTGATTTACGGTGAGAACAGTACACTCAAGAGCACATCACCTTGCAGGAACCAGGTTGGTCTCTGCTGCTCTTGGCAATGGCCAGTAGATCATTTTTTGGAGGCAGTTTCATGTAGCCCAGGCTGACCTTGAACTCACTCTGTACTTGAGGCCTTTGACTCCTGCTCCTCCTGCTCTACCTCCCGAGTGCTGGAATTGCAGGCATGTGCCAAGACGCTGGACTGGTTAATAGTTTTTTATCTAATCACCTTCTTGAGCTGGAGCTGAGACAACCACGTGAGGTACCATGTCTCCAAGAAGGCTTAACTATGCACACCTCTTGCTCCTACCCTAATTCTTCTGTTTAAACTCACCCATGTGTACAAACACACAGGAAAATGGAAAAAGGAAATGAAAGAAAAAAAGAAGCCAAGAGTTCTAGAGGGGCCCTGCCAGGACAAACCCATTGTAGCTGTCACATGGGAGCTGCACGACAGGCCCTCAGCCAGACTCTCCCCAGGTCTTCCATTTGTGTCCAGCGGTCTTTTACTCCTGGATCTCAATTAGCGCACACTGTGTTTCTGATTTGTTCTTGATCTTAACTCCAGAAGCAATCCATTCACCCACCCACCCATCCACCCATCCATCCACCCATCCATCCATCCATCCATCCATCCATCCATCCATCCATCCATCCATCCATCCATCCAT